TTTTCCACTCTTGCTGATTGCAAGAGCGAAAATTCAGAGTAGAATTAGAATGTATAGTTCATGCCGTTTGAACTTTGAGGTACTTACCGTTATCGATGGCTTATGCTACAAAAAAACATCTCAAGTAAAACTCTTTTAAGCACAGCTCGATGAGCACTCAGAACACTGAATGCAAAAATCAACAAAATTTCACCACCTCAAATTATAAATCGTTTCATTTTCTTAAACCCACTAAAAAGCAAAAAATTAAAAGTAAATTTAAAAAATGAACCACTTCCAAAATAATAAAGAAAGTTGAATACAAAATACATTCAGAGGATTTATGACCTCATTATTTGAAAATCTTGACTACAGCATTACAGATTTAATAAAAATTAGCTCATGGGAGTCCAAGTAAACTGATACTAACTCAAATAAACTGCAAAAAATTAGAGAAAATAAGAGTAAGAATTTGAACAGACAAGGAGGTAGAGTAAAATTACCCAGGATTGGATGGCGAAATTGTAATTATGCATAAATTTCACAAATCCTAGAAATCTTGCTGACCAGAATTATCGCAGTGAGATATGGAGAGAGATAGAGAGAGATAGATTCAAATTCTCAACCTCTATCAAAGTGGAATGCCACAATAATTTCAAATTCTCAACCTCTACCTCAACCTCTATCAAATAAATAGACTTTCAAAAAGTTTCCAACCTAACCGACCTGCACAGAAAAATTTGAAAAATATTTCTGACTTTTTCAATCAGGTCATGTAGGCAAGAAATGGACAAATGATGATGGCCTCACTCTCTCTCTGCAAGGTCCCTGTTCAAAATCCCCACCCATTCGTGATCCTTCTCTCTGCAAGCTCTCTCTCTCTCTCTCTCTCTCTCTCTCTCTCTCTCTCTCTCTCTCTCTCTCCTTCTCTCAGTGCAGCCCATAACGCCGCTCTTTGTTGCATCTCTGTCTGCAACAGCACCCATCAACACCCCACCCCCTCAATCTCATCGAGACGAAGCAGACACCCCCTCCCAAACCTGCAATGACAAAAGTACCCCACACTTTTTACCCTTGTCCGTCGGATCTATAATCTAAACTGACTGGGCCGTTTTAGTGCAGGGCTAATCCAAACCAAAATCAACCCATTTTTTTTGTGAAGAATGGGGCTCTCAAAAACATATTTTGAACAAACGATATTTTTTATACTAAGAGGGTGAGAAGTTGGCTAAGCCTCACAATGAGTTAGTAATAATGTGGTTCAATTCGTCTTTGGCGAGATTCGAACCTAAAACTTCTCACTTACAAATAAAAAAAAATATTACTAGATCGTATTACTAAGTGATCTCAAAAGCACTTTTATTTTAGAGATAATTATATCTAAATTCATTTACACACTTATTTTTTAACAAAGAATATTATCTACACAAAGACCATCTCCAAACCTGGCCTATAACCTATTTTTCCCCTTCCATCCCCCCCCCAACAAAAAAAAATCCAACCCAACCCAAGTGGAAAATTGGACCTAAAACCTAAAACAAAAAACAAAGCCAGAAATAGCCCAGGATTCAGCCCAGAAAATGGTGTGGTCACCCCCAGCTGGACCCCACCCACATGGGCATGTTCCTCAGAATTTATTGAATCCAACGGCTGAGATCTAATGGTAAAAAATATATATAATGGCCCAAATTTAAATCCAACGGCTAAAATAATTTAAAAAATTATTTAACTCAAAATTCACCCAAATTTAGTGATTTTTCAATATTTATCGGAATCTAAATATTTTTAGGTTAAAATGTTCATAAAATTAAATTAGGATAGTGTGCATAATTTTTTTTTTTTTTAAATTACTTAAAAGAAAAAATTAGCCTAAATTTATTCTTTAATAATTTCGGGCTAAAAAATTTAGGTCACAAGGGTTAGAGCAGAAAAGCTGTTTTTGGGCTAAAAATTTTAGGTTTTGGGCCAAGAGTTGGAGATGGTCTAAAGGGGTGGATGAATGGTTGAGCTTAACAATGGCTAACAATAGTATGATTCAAATTTGTTTTTTATGAGAATCGAACCTAAGAGTCATCATACCTTTAAGCTTGTACTTTGTAATAAGACCCACACACCAAACCGTTAAGGAACTAGGACAAACCCAAAATTAGAGTTCACTAACAAACCAAATATACAAATCAGGTTAATTTACACAATAACTCTATAAATTCAACATGAAAAACAAAAACCCGGTCCAAACTTTGAAATTTGGCATTTCTAACAAATCAAATCTTCAAGTTAATTCCAAATGGTAACATTCCAAGTCGCAGCCGGAATTAAAGACGATTCAAAAGAAGAGAGAGGTGAGAGAAACCGTTTCTTATCTGTGGCACTTGGGGGCAAATGTCAACAACGGCTACGGATTTGGATAGGACCAGACACAACGGCAGTTTGCTAGAACTGGACCGAGAAAGAAAAGCCCCCTTTCTTTTATGGGTAATGTTACATAGATTAAAATTAGAGATATGATATTCACACACCCCTTTTTACTTTTCTTACACATTTTTGGATTTCGACCGTCGGATCGGATGAATTGAAGAAGATCAACGGACAGAAATTAACAAGGAGTGTGTGAATAGCACACCCCTAAAATTATAGACAAAATTTAGAAGTCAAATGATGTTCTACCACACATTTATCAATGTTTAAGTAATAATCCAATCATCAACTTCTATATCATTTAGTTTACAAAATTTTATCGACAAATTTAATCTTTCTAACATTACTCTTATTTTATAACAAGTATTTTTGTTCAGAAATGTCCCCGTTATTGGAAAATGTATATTATTAATTTTGTTAATTTACTTGGATGACAAGCATTAGAATTTCTTTTCCATTAAATTTAGAATTTCTTGCCTATTAAGGTTTGCTTTAGTTTTTATTGGGTAAATTACACTTTCATACCTCAGGTTTGGGGTCTATTTCAATTCCTTACACATCTTCAAACCATTTCAATTTCATACCTTAAATACTATTTTATTTCAAAATAATACCTCCGTTACATTTTCTATCCATTGATTCGTTAAGTGCTGACGTGGCTACCAACTTGGCATACCACGTGGCAAAAATAATAATTTTTTAATTAAAAAAAAACCACCTGAATCTTAAAAAAAAAAAAAAAAAAAAACTAAAACCTAGCTCCCCGCAAACAAACCCAGAAACCTTAAACCCTCTCCCCACCCACACCCCCCCCCCCCCCCGGCCCCGACCCCGACCCCAACCCACCTCCCTCTCATCCACTCTCTTCACCTCCCCTCCCATCAAGAAACCCAGCAAACCCCCACCTTCCCCGAGCCCTTTCTCTTCTTCACCCCCACCCTCCATTCTCTCATCTGCAACCCCACCCACCCTTGCAAACCTAACTCCATCCAGACCACCATCAACCAAGCACCAAAAAAATTCAAAATTTGAAGGACAAAATTAAATGCATACCTCGTTGTCGGAGCTGACTGACTTGCCGACGAGCAGGGCACGGATGGGGGAAGGAGAAGAGGGTGGGTGTTGCAAATGAGAGGAAGGTGGGGGTCGGGTTCTGGGCGAGGTGGATCGCAGGGAGTTAGGTCGCCGGGGGGGAGACGTCGAGGTGGGTCGCGTCGTGGGGGGTGTGGGCGGAAGAAGGGTTCGGGTTCTAGCTCAGGTGGGTCGCCGGGAAGAAGGGGGAAGACGAGCTAGGCAGGTGTGGGTGGGGAGAAAGGGTTATGGGTTTGTGGGGGGTGGTTGCGGGGAGATGGGATGGGGTCTATTTCAATTTTTTTTTTTTTTTTTTTTTGAGAAAATTCAGATTTTTTAAAAAAATATTTTTATTTGCCACGTGGCAAACATTTGGCAGCCATGTGGCATATATGTGGCAGCCACGTCAGCATTTAACAGATCAATGGATAAAAAATGTAACGGATGTATTATTTTGAAATAAAATAGTACTTAAGGTATGAAAATGAAATGTTTTAAAGATGTTGTATGAAATTGAAATAAACCCCAAACTTGAAGTATGAAAGTGTAATTTACCCTCTTTTATTTATTTATTTATAGGAGTTTGTATTTGTTATTTTACAACAAGACATGACAATCTTCTTTTTCTTTTCTTTTTTTCTATTCATGAAAATATATCTGTAGTCAGTTTTTTATGTTACTATGGTTCTCAACTTGGTATATATATGAAATTAAAACGGCTGAATTGATATTCTCAATATCCTAATTATTGGTTGACAAGTTTATTATTGATGATAAATAGATTTTGAGTGTTGGTAATCAATGTATGTTATCCAGGTGGTAATTCTCATTTTCTTTTCAAATGTGAGGGACTTGAGATCGTTGACTACAGGAAGGATGTTTATCATGAACCTTTTTGTCATCTTGCAATATGTGCCACGAATTATTCACATCTACCTTTCATGTTATCAATATAAATGGATTATTAGAGAGACCGAGCAGATTCCCGTATGGATTAAAGCTACACTGAATTTTTTCATGTACATCATTGCCAGTCATGTAAGTCTCAATATATTCTGACTCCTTTAAGTTTTCTTATTAAAGTTTGCTTAAAAGTCAACATTTGATGGATTAAAAATTTACATGGTGTCTCATTGTTTGATAAAAACTTATTACAAACATTTTTTATTTGACCCAATCAAAAGACGTCATGTGTTTCTTGTTTTTTAAAGTTCAAGAAAAAAAGGCAAGTGACTATTTATCACATTGGTGGAAAGGAGTTGAAGCCTTGTATGATAGCATGGGTTCAAACCTTGTCTATGACTAATCTAACATCTAATTTAACAAAATATATCGTTTGATACAAAAAATAAAATAAAAAATAAAAAACATGTCTAATTGTCTATTAAAAAAAAAACAATAAAACATGTGTTAAAATATCATTGAGCCAAAAGCAAAAAGTGAGTATACAAAGTACTCACTAGTGAGTACCTAAGCATTATCCAATATATATTTTTTAAAGTCTTTTCTTGAGTCTAATCTAATTAATTGATTAACTTGTTGATCATTTAGGCATTCGGAGCCTTATGGTACTTTTTTGCCATTCAACGAATGATGGATTGCTGGCGTTTTGCATGTCGAAAAGAAGATGGATGTGACAGGAGTAGTTTTGGTTGTCATGACAATCACACATTTAGAAACATCACAAATCTAAATGATTTATGCCCTATAAATCCGTCAGACCCAAAGATGTTCGATCTTGGCATTTTTACTAGTGTCCTTGAATCCGGCATAACAGGATCAACCAATTATTTTCAAAAGTTCTCAAACTGTTTTTGGTGGGGCTTACGAAATTTGAGGTTGGTACATTTCTCTCTTGTTTGTTTAGGCATGTGTGTGTGTGTGTGTGTGTGTGTGATGTGGTCTTAAGTATTAATTCTTAGGGGCTCGGATGTTTTGCTCAATGCAAGTCATATGTTTGGTAATTCCAAGAGGATCTCCATGAAATGACTTTAGTTACTATATATTACCATGTTTCTTTGTCTTCCGGAAATTCCCATGCTAAAAAAACGGTTGTAGACCTTCGTGCTTGGAATAAATTAAAAATTAGATTATAACTTCATTTAATTTTTGCAGTTCCCTCGGTTCAAACCTTGAGCCCAGTATAGATGAATGGGAAAACTTCTTTGCGGCTTCTATTTCTATTATTGGTTTGCTCCTGTTCATATATCTCATTGGAAATATCCAGGTTTGTGCCGAATCTTTAATGCTTAAATTTTGTCTTCTTTCCTAAATAGGTATATCGTTGGCTTGTTTTACTTTTAATTAGGAATGATAAATAACTAACTGTTAATTAATCACGTAAACGGCGAGCTGTGAAGACTTTTATCTCCAAAAAAGTAGAGTGAACTGACAACGTATTTGTTGGTTTGGTTGCTGTTGATAGATGTATTTGCAATTTGAAGCTGAAAAAACGAATGCAAGAGTAGAGAAGAGGTTGCTAGCGAAACGAAAGATGGAACAGCTTTGTCCAGAAATAGTGTCGTGGTTATCTAAAAATTGCATTCAGTCATCGTTTCATTGGCACTGGAGGATGCAAATGCATGTCATGAAAAAGGTACTGGAAGCATGTGAAGAGAATGTGCCTGTTAATTTGGAGTACATTATCCAGAGTCTTCCCCCTGAGTTTCAAAGACGTATAAAAAATTGTGCGCCTTTGACCAAGCTCAGGCAAGTAAGTTCCTCGATCAAAGCCTTCGACTTTAATTTAAACAGTAGCTTTGCCATATATGACAAGACTTAGTTTAATGGGAGATGCAAATGTTTTAAAATGGCCATTTTAAATTTTGGTTGGCGATACTGGACAGAATGTAAAATACGCATTTTGGCCAAAAAATGTAAATATTCAATTTTACATCTTTTTTATGTTTTTTACATTTTTTTAGAAGTGAACACTGCCACTCAAAAAGATGAAATTAAATTAGATCTCAAATTTACATCTCTCTCAATGGAATATGATATGACTAGTTTTATACTTTTCAAGAATGTAAATGTGACTCTTACATCTCAAATTTGCATCTCTCTATTGAAGATGTTTTCACAAACTTTTAGGGGCTGTTTTATAATTCATTTTAGTTTTTAGTTTTCATTATTATTTGGTACTCAGCTTTTTAAAAAATGAAAACTAAAAACCAAAACCAAGATAAATTTTGAAAATTGCAAAAATTTAGTTAAGTTTGATCCACACCTATATAGGCTATATAATAATATTGATACAATCTTAATTATTATATGTAGTTTGAAGAAATAAATCATAAGGTAAATCTTATTTACTTTTGTTAATATTAAGAAGTAAAATCCCGTTTCTTATTTACACTCACTGCACATTAAAATGCATCTTATGTACTAATCACAGGAGTTTAGACGGCTGGACGAAAGGGTGTTGCAAGAAATCTGTCAGCATTTTAAGCCAAAGAAATTTAAGAAGAACGATATCATTATTGAACAAGGTGAACCACTCAAAATGATGGTCTTCATTGTGGATGGACTTGTACGCATTGAAAAGAGAAATTCAGATGATACTTGTAATGATCAGCCACGAGGTGCAGGAGATTTATGTGGAGAAGCTCTTGTTGAAAGTATACTTCGAGATCCGCACGACACAAGTTTGTTAGCTTTACAGTCTGCTAAGGCGATTAGTGATGTTGAAGCCCTTGTTATCATGGCTGAAGACTTGAGTAGTATTATACTCTAGATTTTTTTAGATTGGTTTTTGTGTACGTTGGGTCAGGTGGATTGATCAAAAATGTGAATTCAGCTGCTTTAATTGGCAGCATGACTCAGCCGAGTTTTCCCTTCTTTTCTTTTTTTTTTTTCAGAATTTTTATTTTTTTATGTCTAAGGTTTGAAAAACTCTAATTGCTTCTAATTTCTTTCGATTCTTTAACTCACAAATTCCACATAGCAAAATTGTGTAATGCATATATATATATATATATATATATATATATATATATATATTAGAACGTAAATGCAAATGTAGGGGCTTCTAATTTCTTTCGATTCTTTGACTCACAAATTCTACATAGCAAAATTGTGTAATGCATATATATATATATTGACAAATATATGAAACATATACAATATATATATATATATATCAGAACATAAATGCAAATGTAGGGAGTTCATGCATAATAGGAAATGTTTTCATGTTTCATGGTCGTTTCAAATATCTTCATTTATTTTAAAAGAACCTAATTAGCAGAAAATAATTGAGCCCTTGAATTTGTAGAAGATCCTTCTTCGAAAGCCGGAATTGCATCTTCAATGCGTTGTATCACGTTCAACAAAGAAAAATTAAATTGAATCAATAATATGTAGATCAATTTAATAAAATAATAAATTAATTATAAAAAAATGATTAAAACGTAATACTTCATGATTGAAGTTCAAACTCTCCTTAGCGCCCTGTCAAGACTCAAGAGCATGTTGATAATATGTTATAGGTATAATTTACTGAACAATTATTTAAGACATAGAGAGAGGGTGCGGCATAGTAGAGAGAAAGAGAGAGATGTGTAATTGTGAGGTGTGTTATCTCACCTCATTATGCCTTTATTTATGGGAGTTTTAACGAAAAGCTCCTGGTACTATTCACTTTAACGAAAAACCACATTTTTACTCTAAAAAGTCAATCATGGTACTATTTACTTACACATTTTTGTCATTTTCATTAAAACTCAAAGTTTTCAAGTCTTTTTCATTAGTTTTCCTTTTATTTATAGTAGTAAGAAAGGTAAACTCCTTACCCTAATAGGATTACAACTCTAATAAGATAATATATAGTCTAAAAGATATGGATATGGTAGAATCACATAAGGATATCCTAGATATGTTAGGATTTACACAATTTTAAGCAATTTGTCATATGAATTTTTTTAAAGGTTTTTTTATTAGCAGCTCATATAATATTGAACATACTCCACATTAAAATCTAATATTAAATGACTTATATGCTTTATATGCAATGACAATTTCGTCCTCATAAGGTTAAAAAAAAAAAAATCTAAATACACTTCAAATCAGGTTTAAGGTGTATACCCCAAAATTATTTATTTTTTTTAACTATCAAAACCACTATTTCCAGTGAATCTTAAGCAAAGAGGAGCTCAGAAAGGTTGTCCCTTTCTTTTGCATATGCATCTTTCAAGTTTCGAAACATTATCCTGCTTATTCTGGGTTGCAGTCTGGACAGAAAGTAATGGAGGTGGTCTTGTGAATCCCAATGGCGCGACAGACCCAGACGACATGGGCGCAGCCAACTACATGGAATAACTTTGTGCAAGGGGGTACAACAACTCTGCCATCTCTCGGCTTCTAGGCCAAAACACAACGGTCTTGTTTGATAGCTCGGATTGTATTAACTATTTCAATTGGATAAGATAAATAATCATCGGATAATACTGACTAAATTAGTTGAGCATTTGGTGTAGTATCAGATTAATGACCATATTATTTATACTGTGTTTGGTACTGAACCGGATAAAAAAAAAATGAAAAAAGCCAAACAAATTTTTGACAAGGAATGATACAAGAAGACATGATTATTGGCTAATTAAAGCAAAAATGCAAACGAGATTAAACATGTGCAGTAGTATGATACAATAAGAATACAAGTATACATGGTTATTGGCTAACTAAAAGATGAAGAAAGGGATCTGGAAATGAAGCAAACAATTGCCAAAGCGTGCACCGATGCAAGGCTTGGAAAACGTGTGGTGCAACCCCAACAACAAGCCCCAAAATTCAAAAATTCTAATTAAAACACAAAATTACATAATCAATTATATAATTTGAGAGAATAATAACTAGCTACAATCAATTGAAAGAAACTTGCAAGAAAAGTAGGAGGAGGAGGGAAGAGCAGAGGGAGGGGCCGAAACTTGGGAAGAAGAAGAAGAATGAGAAGATGAACTGGGATTCAGACGAAGAAGAAGAAATCATAAGAAAAGACAAACCTGGGATTCAAACGAGAAAGCAAGCGCAAAAGGCAGAAATACTGTCTGGAGAAGATCGAGAGACCGTCTAGAGAGGAAAGAGAAAGCAAGAGATTTCACCCAACTAAATTGTACCGTGGTTTTGGAGAGTATAAGCAAGCAGGTGTTTACCGTATAAAATAGGTGGGCCCGGATATTTTAATCCGGTGACTATTTAATACAAACAGACACCAAACATCATGCTTTGTATTATTAGTCCTATTCGGTGAGCTAAACGGCATACCAAATGAGGCCAACATGTCCAATGAATAAGCCTTTTACTCTTGACGTTAACGTACCTTCTGTGACCATACGTAGTCTGAGAAATCCCACCACAATAAAATGAACTGTCACAAATGTTGGAGCCCGAGTCCATTTACAAAGCTACCATTGAACCTCCATTCGATACAATTGTTCGTGTGAATCCGACTGCTCTGGTATTCAACTCCATAGTCTCACTTTCACAATCACATTCTTCGCAATCCACCAGAAGAACACTGGTTACTATTTTGGAAGTCTTACTTGGGTTGACGGAGTGTGGGCCGTAAGTTGAGAGTATGGGATATAAGGGTATCATGAGAAAGTATGTGTGGTGTGTTAAGATAAATTTTAATTGAAAAAACAAATGTGGGGTGTATTAAATATGTAGGGTGTATTCAACAATATGCGGAGTGTAATAAAACAAGCATTTTTGAAATTATTAATTTGTCATTTCACCCCAATTCTGTTAATTTTTTCATCCAAAAAAGGTCATTTAGATTTTTGACCTTTTTTCAATAGTTTATTCGTTTATTTATTATTTTTATACAAAGATATATATGTACACTAGCATTAGGCAATAAATTGGTTTTCAACTTTTGACTTTCTTTTTAGAGGTTCTTTACTGATCTTTTGGTATGAAAAAAAGTCATGTTCATTTCATATATAAACTTGTGGTGAACTAACTATATTAGGCCCACAACCATAGAGTTTAACTAATTACAAGTTTTGAGAGTTCAACGTGGTCAATCGTATTCATTAAACAAAAAGGGAGTTAAAATGTCCAAAATAACCTTGAAATGCCCAAGTAATCTTGGAAGGATCAGAGTAGAGAGTTGAAATATTCGAAAACCTTGAAAATAAGTTATTTGCCTTGCACATGGCTTATTTTAGATAAAAAATTTAACAGAGTTAGGATGAGATGACAAATGAATGATTTTCGAAACTTAATATGGCAAATCGTTTAAAATTTTAATTCATATGACAAATTAAAAAGAGAACTTCTAAACCCATCTCACTGTCCTATTTTCCCATCCACCTTGTAATCTCACCACCATAAAAAATTAAAATAATCAAAATGTTATTTCCCCGCCTACTATTATTCCTAAAATGATCTCTAACATGCTACTTCCCCACCCACTATTATTCCTAAAATAATCTCTAATATGCTACTTCCCCACCTACTATTATTCCTAAAAATTGAAATGCTATTTCCCCAACAATGAAGCCTCCTCCGACAATAATCTACTAGCAAATGAATAACCTTCCAAATGCTCTGCTATGTGTGATTATGCACTTCAATAACTATCATCAATATCCAATTATCATTAGTTGCTAGCTTCTTACGTTTAATTGGAAAGGGCATCCATGGTCCATAATTTCTTCTATCCTCATTCTTTGTTTCTTTTTTGCGAATTTAGCTTACATATTGTTATTCATTTTACAACCAAGTGTAAGTCTATGGCTCTTGTTACCATTCCCCGCCCAACATACTATTATTATATATCTTTTAAGGTCTTTATCGGTTACTTTACAAATGGACAAACTTATAATTATAAATTTCATTAAAAAAATGGGTAGATAAATAAAACACTGAAATGGAAATAACAACACTCCTTAAAAGAGGGGAATATATGATTTTTTTAAAAAAAATTCCATTTCTATCTATTTTAGAATCTTTTTGTTTAGATGACAGTAATATTTTCTTCTTTTTAGTACTTAAAAGTTTTGGATAATAATGAGTAGTTTCAAAATGGTGATTTAGGTACTCGAAGTTGGGTGGTATTTTTACGCTGTTAAACGAATGACAGTTTGCTGGCAATCAGCACGTCGAAAAGAAAATGGATGTGCATTTACTTGAGAGGATGATCGCCCTTCATCTGGGTACTAACTGATTTATGCCGTATCAAAAGTTTTATGCCCTTGACCAAGTTAGAGCAGGTTAGAGGCGTTTAATAAATATTTCGTTGCACTTTTTTTATGAAAACTAAGAACTGAAAGTCTAAAAACTGAAATGTAGGTGCCACTGCTCAAGTACTTGGATGAAAAAGAGAAACAGTTGGAGTAAATTGCAACTGTCTGCTGGAAACTTGTGCGGAGAGAATATGCTAGCATGGGCAATGTCGTGGAGCTCATCGCCTGTACTACCCAAAGCAACTGAAACTGTCAAGGCCTTGCTGTTTCTTTCCCTCTCATCCCATCATTCTTCTTCATCCCTCAATTTCCCCATATCCGTTCCTCATATCTCAATCACAGAAAGTGAGAACTAAAACTAAAAATATGAATAATTATAAAGCGGGACCTTTTTATCCGAGGTTGCTAAGCAAGGTATGATGAGAGTTTGCATCTAAAACCAAGGTACGTTACCAAAATGAATGAGAAATAATTACGTTGATAGTATACACCCGCCAATACCCTAGAGAAAAAAGGGACCTTGCATCAGTTCATTTCGTTTTAGAGCTATGTCCTTACATTTGAAACTGCCATTTTGTACAAAACAACCTGCATTGCGTTGACGATGAAACTTATAATGAAACAATGTTCAGGACTTCCAGCATACTAATATGCTCTCGACTTAGTTAAATGATACATAAAAGACACACGGAAGATGGGATAAAACACTACTTAGCAACATGAAACTCGCTTCTCATACAAAGGATGAGTATGCATTATCATTAATCAATTAACAAGAAAGAACTCTTTAGTTTCATAAATGGAATGGATCTAGTATTCATGTAAAATTCGCCATAGCCTTGCATACATTTTTCACAGATGAACCCCATAGAGGCAGCTGTTCCAAGTCCGATGTTTTGGCAATAATTCCTTCCGGTAATGCCTCACTCCCTGAAGATTGGCAACGATTCTGAGGATGAAAAGGGGAAAAAAATTAATTCAGCAATAGCAGTAACTTCAAATGCCATAAAAAAAACCACTTAATCTTCCCGGTAAGAGGCAAACCTTGCACGTATGAAAGTTTGTATTCTGCCTATTGTAGACCACTTTCCATCTTGTTAATTTCTGCAAGAAAGATTTCGGGACCATTTAATTGATAATAGGTAATACAGAACTTGCAGAACAAAAGTAAAAGGTGCACACAACTTGAAGAACAAATAAAAGACATACTTCCTTGTACTCGTGAGCAATGGTGGCACCGCCGATGAAGTAAGGAACCTACAATGAAGCGACTGCAGTAGAATGACCTATTCTTCGGGTCAGACAGCGCAGCAGCCTGACAAAAACAATGAGGAAACTAGTCTTTAAAGTTAGTCACATTGTATCACATTTGATCCCACATTTGATCCCATCAAGCCTTCAAGGGGGTATTATAGCGGTGAAGTAAGAATGAAAATAGGAGTCATTTCACTACCAAAATCTTTACCGCCAAGGAACTTGAGAAGGCCATGAACGACTACGGTGCAGATGGAATCATTGGTAAAGGACCGTATGGAACAGTTGACAAAGGAAGATTAGGAGATAATACAATGATTTGCATAAAGGAGTACAATATGGGTGGTAAGTACAAGAGTTTTCAAGCTCTTAGTAATAAGATAGCTCTTCTTTCTCAGATGAACCACAAAAATGTGGTGAGGCTATTGGGTGGTTGTGTGGAGGGAAAAACGCCGCTACTAGTTTACGAGTTCATCCACAACGGCACTCTTTATGATCACATTCAAAGATCGTTGTTACAGAGGTCCGGAAGGCCACCACTTTCGTTTAAGTTACGGTTAAAGTAGCAGCAGAAATTGCAGAAGCACCAGCATACTTACACTGCCATTATGTCATGCCAATTGTACACCAAGATGTCAAGACAATGAACATTTGCTAGATGAGAATTACACGGCAAAATTGTCAAACTATGAAACTACTAGATTGCTTCACGAAGATCCCGATCAAATATATACGCTAGTGCGATGTAAAACTGGATTCATGGACCCTGAATATCTTGAAACAAGGAAGCTAACAGAAAGAGCAACGTCTATAGCTTTGGAGTTGTCCTCCTGGAGCTACTCACGAACGAAGTGCCATATTCTTTTAGTGGCCTCCCGGGCATGTGTTTGGGTTAATATTTAAACTTTGGACTTCAAAGGGAAGGAAGCCCAAATGAGCTCAATAAAGAAGGTCTGCCCGAAGCCTAGAGTCAAGCCTAGGTCATCCATCTCAAGACAAAATGACGGCCCCATTAAATGCAAAGACTAGGTGCTTATAAGAGAAGTGACAACCGATGGAAACCCACCTACTTCTTGCCCAAAATTACTTTTGGATGGCTTAACATGTAAAAATGCTGATAATTCATTACCCTTTAGTTACTTTCGGCCAAGAACAGAAACAGCACGGTTAGGTTAATTCGTCTATAAAAGGAGAAAGGCCCAGAGACAAGAACACTTAACCAATCAAACAAACAAACATACAACTTGTCTCTCAGTCAAGCAAATACTCAGAAAGCTATGCTTTGTCCAGATTTTGCACCCTTTCAGCTATAGAGTTCCCATAGAAAGACATCTTTTGTCTATGTAAAAGCTTTGCTACCTTCACCAAATGTTGTAGTATCGATTCTCTTGTGCAAAATCGTTTACCCCTCATCCCTCTTTATTACTCAACCCTTTGTAACTGCAAAGAAAAGAGATTGCAAGATGCTTTAACCTTACCCGACAAGGTGAAATCTTGCCCGACTCTCTTTGTTTTTGCCTTTCCATTAATAGATCTGGTGTTATAATGTATCCCTCCGTATATATGCAAGTCCTTTCGATCTCCGGATGATCCTAAGTTCAATTAACTCTCATATCTGGTTCACTTAGCACTTTTACTATCGTAAAAGTAAATGAAAAGGATGCCTTGATCAAATATGAACCCCTCCCCTTTAAAAGCATACAAGATAAACAAAAATCCTTGATCTCAAGGCATAGAAAAGAACTTAATGTGGACTTAACACATCCATGACAATCCTTTGATGATGAGAAGTCATAATAACTTAGGACGCAAGTAATCAGCTTAAATACACTCATTCTACATCTGCCATACAGAGATGACAGTGGCACGCCTCAGCACTTAGTTAGTTTTGATTGCGAGACTCACGGCCTACATCTAAGGCCCGACAAAGACACCCTTCAAAACTAATTCTGTCATCTTCTTGCAGCCCGACAGTCAACTCCTCGAGGAGCTGTGTGCTCGAGCCAGGGACCCTTCCCAGCGAAATTCCTGCCCGAAAAGCATGTTTCTTGCTTTGGAGGGAAGGAGAGGACTCGGCCAATGGGACGGATTGATTGCTTTTGAAATATACTAAGAGGGAGAGACAGAAAAGTTGGAGAAAGTGATTGATCTAACAAAAAGATGTATGAGGTTAAAAGGAGAAGAAAGGCCTTCCATGCAAGTAGTCACAGAGCTTGAGTCACTTCCATCAAAAAGTCATGACCTATGTGTTTGCTAGTAATATGTGGAGTTGCTTATTGGAGTACTTGTGAGGCCTACTTCTGATTTATTACAATTTTTTTTTTTTTTTTTGTTAAACGATAAATTTGGTTAGATTAGACATCAACAAAATTTAAACTAACATTGTAATACAAAGACTTAACATCTTTCTACTGTTGTAGTAAATGACCAATTTGGTAAAGGCCACTTGCCTGACTTTTACTTTTTTCAATTCTCTGTTTATTTTTTCTTTTTAGCTAACAATGCTTTTATTAAAAGAAATTGTTATTAGTATTCCAAAAATTTCAATCTACACTCCTCACATATGTATTTTTCTCTTAATTATAAAAAGTTTTAAATGCAAAATAAGATATTTAAAGTGCCAGTAACAATTCCCTTGCTAAAAACACATAAACTTAATGCTTCTTGAAAAAACACTTAAGCGCTTCCAGAAAAAGTACTTGGCAAGTGCTTCGGTAAAAAACCTTTCAAATTTTTCTGCCAAATCCTAAACAAGCCTCAAATCCTTATGCATTGGCAGACCCAGAAATATATTATATGCTGTTAACTATACACTAATCGGATCGTATAATCAACTACTGGCGTCAGAACTTAAAAATTGGTGGATCCCAAACATAATTTATATATTGCCCACAGAAATCCATAATCCGAAAAAAAAAGAGAAGTTCAAAATTCGGAGCTAGAGAACAATAAACAAAACCCATTTAAAGCAAAGAAATTGTCGCGATACAGTTTTCATGTAAAATCCGCATGTCCTTGGAGAACAGTGCATTTAAGCTGGTGATTCACTGCCTCTCGGGGAACCGGGGATGTCTCCATCATCTTCAACAGGGCTCCTGTCACTCCTACGGACAGGGCTTGGGCTGCGGCTGCGGCTGTTTTCTTCAACAGGGCTTCTATGCTTCCTATCTCCATTGCTGTCCCCTTCAACATCATTTAGAGGGCTTCTGCTCTTTGCCCTGGGACTCCTACTGTCGTCAGATCTGCGATCCTGCGGGGAGAGGCTACCCCGCTCTTGTGGGCTTCTCCCTTCGGGAGTTCTATCACGCTTCCTCCCCTTGGAGGGTGGTGGTGAAGCCCTGCGACGCTTAGGGCTCAGGCTGTCATGAGGACTCCTTGATCTTCTCTCCAAACTCCTTTCTCCCCTCACGGGTGATCGGGAACGACTGCACATCAGAAAAGAATAATCGAGTTCCAACAACATATCTACCGAGAAGTATAACCACATTTCTAGATCAAAAGTAACATGAATACTTGGAAATTCACTGCTCCCCGCAAAGGAATCACTCTTAAAATGAATTTCATCGATTAGGTAGAGGCAAGAAATGAGACTCAGGCAGAACTTGTAAGAGAAAAGATGATGACAAACCTGTAACTATGATCCCTGCTGTAGCTACGGCTTCGACTTCTACCCCGCCTTGGAGTTGGTGAACGTGAGAGACTACGCCCATGCCTACACAAGAAATAATTTGCAAAGTCAATACGCAGAGCCGTATAATGCCAAAACACAGAGGGAGATCGACAGAGAGAGAGTGCATACTTAGTTGTTTTCTTCGGACTATTCTGACAATTTCTTTCAATGTGGCCTCGTTCCCCACAACGATAACACTTATTCTTCCAGTCTCCAGCTTTGCAATCTCGAGCCCAGTGTCCATCCAGCCCACAATTAAAACAGCGCCCTGATCCCGGAGGAGGGCCTCTCCCAAGATACTCTCGAGATCCACCAGGACCACGTGGTGCCTGAATGCAAGCCAGACATTGAGCAAAATTTTCATGACAATTGACCAATAAAATGAGAGAGCTTAAAACATGGGAAACAAGGGAGGGAAGGGGGGGTGGGGGAGAGACAGATAGAGATACATAGATATCAGGCAAGACATAAAAAGTCTACAACAAAATGACTTAATCCAGAAACAACTATACAGGGGGTGAACCCTGCACCCTCTTTGTTAAGTGATACATCCCAAGTGATGTAATCAAGAAACAATTACAGAGGTTAACTCTGCAATCCATATGACAAGTGACAACAAAAATTCAAACAGAACATTGTTCAGTTCTTAACAACATACTAATAACATATATTGCTGAAATATGAGAAGGATTCTAAACAATATAACCCATAATACTTACCCCCCTGGCAAATTCCACAATTATCCGGCTCCCATCAACATCACGACCGTTCAGGCTATATCTTGCATCATCAGCATCCCGGGGGTCACTAAACTCCTGTTGTTAGTTACAGAATGAAGAACAAAGAGAAGATAAAATTTGCAAGGGAAAAAAATTGACAAGACAAAGGTTAACACCATAATAATCAATGAAATAATGCAAGATCACATGCTTGTGATTGTGCGTGTTAGAAGTGTTAGAGAGAGAGAGAGAGAGAGCAAGGTACAGAATAACATACAACAAAGGCAAAGTCGCGCTTCATATCCACATCACGTACTCTGCGTAAACGGGTTCCATAAACAGTAAGGCCATCATGATACAAGCATCAAAGAGATGAGACTTCGCCCCTCACAGATGAACTAAACACCACTTTGAGATTGTTGCCATTTCCATAAAAAAACGCAATAAATTATAGAAAGACTCGCCAAATCCACCAATTGGACCTCTCACCAAGACCTCCAGGTTTGGCAAAAGCCAAGGAACCTTCAACAAGATCATTGAAGTTAAGCCAAAAGGACACATGGAGGGGTGAAGCGTTTTCACAAACATAGAAGAAATGTACACTTTCAAGCACAAATAATGGCTTGGCAAAGGGTTCATTGTCTCCCAAAAACCTTATACTTAAATATGGACAGCCCCCAATGACCAGTAATCCAGAACAGAAAGTAAAAGACCATAAACCCATAGCAGAAAATTGGAACACAAATATGGGATTTGCACTAATGGGTATATATGCACGAACTAATTTTCTCAATGATTCTCCCTTATCTAAAGCAATCAGAAGTCCCAATGAGCCTTATGATTTGCACATGAAGTTAACACTGGTATGGAATTGCAAACAGGAACAGAATAATGAAACGACAGAAACACGTATGTTCTATTGAACTGTAAAAACTCAGTCAAATAAGCATCTAGCTTGAACCAAACAGAACAATCAATAAATGTCTAATATTTTCCTATGCAATGTTTTACCTAACCACCCAAAAAGCACTTGGAATCCCATGACTCATAACAATCATTCCTCATACCTTCCATATCTGCTGAATACGTCTTCAAGTTCACGTGATCTTGTCCGCGATGACAAGCGGCCAACATAGAGCCGTGAACCACCATGGCGGTCATCATGACGAGGCATTGT